TGACGCCTATCAGAAAACAACTACTCCCCTGGCTAATACCACGAAGGGCGTTGGATTATATCCGACAGGCGTCAGTGCTGGAATTTTCACAGAAAATTTCCTGCATATGCAATTGGCAATACAACTGAAAGAGTCGACCTTCAATTTTGGAACGGGCACGTACTGACGCCGGTCGGATATAATCCAACGCCCTTCGTGGTATTAGCCAGGGGAGTAGTTGTTTTCTGATAGGCGCCAGTCCATTCAACCTACTGTGTAGGTATATCCGAGACTAGCTTGAACGTTAAAAGTTCATTTCTTTAGATTTGTTCACTGCCAGTCTTCAATCAAAGCCCACTGACTAATAGGAAAGGTTCTATTATTGCCATTTTCATTTGTTTCATACTGATATGGTGAGAAATGAATAAAAACTGTTAGAAACTTCCGAAGAGAGGAAGAAAGTAATTATCTTCGAAATTATGATGGAAAAAATAGAAAATTAAAAAGGTTTTCCCCACTAAGAATTATGTTCACTATCAATTAACAATCCGAAACACCTTCAGTATTTTGGAAATGTTGAGCCTATATGTCACTGAATTAATAATCAATTTTTTGTGTGATTTCTTTTCAGTGCACTTATTCTTTGAAATTGAGCATTTCACATAATTTACTGAAATCGTCTCAAATATTATTTGAAAATTATAGTTTATTCCGGTGAAACACCGTTTTCATTATATTTGAAGAATCCATAGAAAGTCATACAAATTTTTTTGTTTCCATCTTACGTCGGGAATGAACCTTCAATGTTGAGACTTTGGTACTTCTGGTAAGTGAAATTTATTTACCGTTCCTTTCCATATTAGCAAGTAACATCCCCGTTACAGCAGTTTTAGCTTGGGCAACTTCATTAACCAGTTCTCCTGCTGATATCCTCTGTTTGAATAGGGGCTGCACCAGTGGAGATTCTAATATAGGATCTATGGGTTCTAGAGGACTCATCAAATGACATAAGATGCATAGTTTTGGGTCAGGTACCTGTAAATATCGGAAAATCAATTTATTTTAGTAGTTGAGTGGTATATAATTTTCTCACCTCCATTACGTGTAGATTTCCATTTTTCTCCAGGGAATTACCACTAAATATAACAAACACTCTAAAAATAATTAAAAAAGCAGCCAAAACAGCCAATACATTCAACTTTTTTTAAGGACAAAAACACAAGCACTACCGAAAAATCCTTTAGGCGCTCTAAGAGCGATGCCTGTGCGAAAGTAGTCATTCAGATTGGATTTGAATCGCTGGAGATTGAATCAATTTGGAAAAAAAGTTCTCGGGAAGTTTATTCCACATAAACGCAGTTCTTCAAATGAAAGACTTCTTGAACAATGAAGTTCGAGGTGTACTGACTTGAACCTCAAAACGATGAGCAGCCACAGTCCATTGCAAATTTCTTATATGTACCGCTCTAGGTGGAATCAAATGTGTCAAGTTTCTTGAACACTTCCTGTGAAAGTATCTATAGAAGAGAGACAAATCTCCAACCTTTCTTCAATGTTCCAGACTATAAAGGTTGCAAGTGTTGTTCGGGTCTCCAATCAGGCGGATGGCTCTCCTCTAGACAGAATTCAGCAGCTTCGGGGTATGCTTAGGGGTGGAACTCCAGACATGAGAACAATACTCCAAAGAAGTTCTCATCTGAGCTTTAAAAAGCATCGAAAGTTGCTGAGGTGTGTACAGTTTTCTGGTTCGGAACAGTGTTCCAAGCTTTTGAGAAGCGGCTTTTGCAATTCCAGCAACATGATTGTGCCAAGACATTTTGGTGTCCATTTGTACCCCCAACAAAGTTATCGAAGCAGAGAGTGGAATTGTCTGACCTGACATTATTATATCCGGTTCGAAGACCGGAGAAAACCAATGCTTCGATTTGTGGGGCATTGAATTCAACCTGGTTACTTTCACCCCAATTCGAAATTACTTCTACATACTCATTAAGATAGACAACCTCCTGATGTCAGTGAAGATGTGCATCCGCCGCCGATGTCCTGCAATCTGAATGGAATGACTAAACAAGTATGTTGCAGTCAGCAAAGCAATTTATTGGATTCTTCGAAGTTTAGCCAGCAAACCTTCATGCCACACATGGTCAACGGCCTTAGAAATATCAAGCGTTACAGCTGTTGACTTTCTATGTTTCTCGATTGCGTTATTCCAAATATGGGTGACATACGATAGAAGGTCGCCTGTTGATATTTGTTTTCTGAAGCCATATTGATGATCGCTCAAGATGTTGAAGCCTTCCAAATATTTAAGGATATTATGGTTTGCGGTTTTCTCCATGAATTTTGATATCACTCCTAGCTACGCGACTGGTATATAGTAATTTGGAAGATTCTTCTTGCCCTTTTTGGGAATAGGTTGAGCAATCTTCCGACAAGACAGAAAAACTCCTTTCTTGTAAGACAGGTTGAAAACTCTGCGAAATACCGGTGCGAGTTCATTTGCGCCCTTATTATGTATGATGAAGGACACTTCATCAGGACCAGACGTCTTGTTGACATTGAGCTGTTTCAAAATTCGCCAGACTAGACGCTGTCGAAAAGTAATTTCCGGCATTGTGGATTCTAGTGTGGGAGTAGTGGGTGGAACTTTTCCCAGAAAATCGACCGTGGAGAGGGACGCAAATTGAACAGCTAGTAGATTTACTTTTTCTATAGCTGTTGTTGCATTCGAACCACCATCAGCTTGTGTCACTGGAGAAATTGTGAACTTTGTGAAGTTTTGATTAACAGCTTCAGCTAGACCCGTCTCTGATTGTGAAGGTCTTTGCTTTCATTTATCCTAAATTTGAAAGTGCATTAACAATCCATGTTCGGTTTTCAGCACTGGGATTTTTGCGCCACTGCCGGTAGGCGAGATTTTTGGAGGCGACAGCTTGCTCGCAATTTTTGTTGAATCAAGGTTACCATATAGTGGCACGTGGCATGAATACAACGATTCACACGTGTTCCCAATTTCGCCAAAATCACTTGTGAGCTATGAGGCATATGTCCTCTTTTATGAACAGGAGGGAACGAAGCAGCATCTTTGTGATTTTTTTAATAATCTTAGTTCTTTGAATTGATTTATATTTCATGATTTTTCCAAATTTCATTATTTAATAAAGACTAATTTCTGGAAGTGGTAAAAACATAAAGAAACAGAAAGTTTTATTTCCCCTAATCTAAACGGTGCGGAAACTTTGCACTATGCAGGAAGGGTTGGAAACTCGATTATTTGGAATCCTTGGAAATTCATAAACATAAGCATTGCGGATGTAACCTAGTAAATGACCAAATTGATCTGGTCTATTCGCCGGTGTTCAGATTCTCATTTTTCATGATGATCTACTACCACGTAGTGGTAGATCAGTTTGAATGTTTATACCTACTGGCATTGGAACTCCGTCTGGGTAAAATCTATCCAAACAATTATTTGGAATGATGAAGCAGTCCTGGTCCAAACCTGTTAGAGGTCTTGCAGTATCGGCATCGTTTCTTTCGTTTCCATAATTGAAACTGACCTGAAAAAATGTTCACTGAGTATGTTGAACTCTTTCATAATTCCTCATTAAATTTTGAAGCGAAACAATAAGTTTATATCCAGAGTTTTGAGAAATAGAGGTCCAGTGGATTTTTCTATAAATATCATAGGAACACTTAATTATAATAATTATATTTGAAGTTTTCTATAAGGATTACTGGAAAGAAACTTCTTTTTCGAATTTAGTTCCAAAAAGTGTTCCGAAAATGGATGAATAACTAATGTTTTTCAACTACTGCAAACCCCTTTTCCTTTTTCCCTTTTTTTTTTTCAAAATGATGTTTTACTACTAAACAAATCCCTGAATGATGTTTTTGACGATTTAACGTGGATTTAAAGATTTTCGAAGAGAAAATTTCAATGAAACGCTTCAACATTCTTTGAAACATCTGTTTCAAAATATGTCTCCTTAAAATATGATCATTTTAATTTAAACAAGATTTCTATGACTGGTATTGAATCAAATAAGCGTACGAATTTCTTTATGTACTGTCATCGTGATATGAGTAAAGTTGCTTCATCCCTAGCATAAATTCATAGTGTTACGAATGAAATGAATGCTTCATCTTGAAATATTATCCAAAACGAACCTGTTGTTGTTGTTTCGGAAGGGCAGTTTGTATCTGAAAGTAACTTCTATGCATGATCTACATATCTTCGTTGAAATTAATTGCTTTTTTCCTTCCTTTGAAAAATNGATACTGATTAGGGACATCTTCGTTCCGAAAACTGGAAAAATCAGACAGAACTCGATGGAGACCTTGAGACTCACGAGTTTCGTATCACTTGCATCAAAGACAGAGTAGGTGAATCAACAAACACGGTTTTATGAAGGGTCGTACGAGAAATAGAAACTGGAATGACACGGATGGCGAAGGGTTTTCCTCAGGGGGAGGTTATAAATTTCGTACTGAACGAGTTACTACCTCTTCAGGACCATAATGGACACAAAGTAATAGGTTATGCAGAAGCTTCAGACATCCTCATTTGGGGGAAATATAATAGTATCGTATTGGACCCATACAACAGAACCTGGACGATACAACTTGATGAAACACCTAAGAAAGGCAGATGGATTGGGACCTATAGAACTTCGAGGTGAAGAGAGACACCATTTCGGTAAGGCGAATAAGTCAGAGTAAAAAGGCGGGTAAGAGTAAAAATGCGGTTGATGCTGCTCGGATGTTCTTACAAAAAGACGTGGGAGCTGAAACCAGCCATGATGTTCTGGCTTCACATCATTGTGATCGAATACATGGTAACATAAGCCTTCTCGGTCTGTTGGCGGGGGATGAAGCAAAGGACTGTTGTTAACAAACTAAGCAGGTTACGAAGGCTTGCATGTTTGGGAATAATGAGAGTAATGAAAACTACACTAACAACTGCATTGGAGACACTCTCTAACTGTACATCTTTTCATAGTAGGGGACGCAAAATTGGACTAATTCACACTGGTTACAACTAATTGGACAAAAATATCGGAATATGTGGAGGAGCAAACATCAAATATGTTCTCGGATTACATGACAGAAGCACATGCTCGCGATTAAGATCATAAACTGCAAAGAATGGAGAATGTCATCTCAAGAACATGTTCGGCAGAAACACCTGGCATACAGAAGGGTCTAATGCCGAACAATGTTCTATGTATCTCAGTACAAAGTTGTATCTCCCGAGCACTTAAATACTCATCTACTGGAACGTCGCTTCTACTTCAAGACTGACAATTGATCACAGTGCGATTTAGTATTATAGTCACAGATTATCGTATAAGCTAGCAACGTTTTCGATAAAGAATTTCAGAACAGTTGGTTTTTTGCTATGCTGTCTTTCTTGCTCTTTCGGTTAGAGTCCGGGCTACCTGGCTGGCGGTAGTGCTTGCATTTATTAATGCGCATCTTACCTGCACAGGTAAAAATCCTTAACTTTAAAAGAATTTTTTTAAGTGTAATTTTTATTTTTTTGCTTTTAGATAGATCCACCAGACGTTTTATTGCCAGACATGTTTATTGTTGTTAATTTTGTGCGAT